GAGTTCCATGTTAGTTTTTGGTCGATTGTTACGCCCAAGTACTTAAAATAAATTATTAAATAAACGGTTATACCTATATTAGTGTTAAGGGCTCTTTGTATAATTGACGACAAAGACCATTGGCAAAAGCCCCTCGCAATGATTACAAGGTCATCAGCATAACCCAGTGTATCAATGCGTAGGTCTGCCATCCTGTACAATAGTTGTGTCCAAAAAAGGGGTTGCGAAACACCTCCTTGTGGGCAGCCTCTTGTAGTTGCAACGTCAATCGAAGTTTGAAACAGCGTTATTTTTGCCTTTCTGTTTGAGAGCATCGACTTCACCCATCTGATGGTTGTGGGGTTAACATTTTTAGATGTCAGGCCCCCAATCAGCAGTGATATGGGGCTCTACTGTCGAAGGCGCCCTCAATATCTAGAAAGGCACACAGAGCTATTTCTTTATTCTCCAGCGCTTTTTCGACCCTGTCAATAACACTGATCAGGGCTGTTTCCGTAGATTTGCCTCTGCAGTAAGCATGCTGGTTGTAAAATATGGGCCTTATAGCTAGAGCTACATCCCTTATATATCTATCTAAAACCTTTTCCAGTGTCTTAAGAAGAAAGGAAGATAGGCTTATAGGTCTTAAGGACTTTGGTAAAGCGTAGTCCTTTCTACTAGGCTTAGGTTTAAATAGAACTTTGACAATTGTCCATCGTTCTGAAATATATCCCCATGCAAAACTTGCTCTGAAGATTTTTACCAGATAGCGAAGAAGGATATCGATACCCCTCTGTAGTTGGATGGAAATTATTCCCTCCTCCCCGCTTGTTTTAAATGGTTTAAAGGAATCAACAGCCCACTGCAACAGGTTTGGCCTTATTATCTTTGCAGCCCTACACCAGTCCTCATCACAAGGCCTTCGTAGGGCTCTGAAGAATTCAAGGCAGAAGTCTTATGTGACTATGGGAAATGGGTTGACACTAGTACCTCCAATGTTTCTGTTTCACTATTAGTAAAGTTACCATCAGGCTTTTTAAGAAGCCCGATCTGACTAGGTTTAGCTTTCGATAGCATTTTGCGAGGCAGAATCAACTTCCTCGCATAGCTTCCTCTACGATGCTCTCTTGGCTTTCCTAATTTCTTTATTATATTCAGTTAGGGCTGCATTATAAATTCCCCACTCTTAAGTTTTCTTAGGCCCATTAAATAGTTTCCTGGTCTTTTCCATAAGTTCTTTTAACTTAGATTCAACCAAGGAACTTTTCATGTTGAGGTGTTGGTTTCGACGGGACAACTGTCCTCGAAGGCTTTAAGGATACCTACTGTTACTGTCTCTATCGCTAACTCCAGACCTTCAATCGTTTTGATGCTTTTAGGAAACGTTTCCAAATTCCTTCTTAGGCTATCTCTGTAGAAATCCCAGGAGGTCGCTTTTGGATCCCTAAAAGTAACGGTTTCATAGGTTCGTGATGCTCCAATCACAAACTTAATGCGTTTGTGATCTGACATCAAGTTTTCACTACTAATATGCCAGTCATTTATCCGGATGGATATATTATTGGAAGCAAAGGTTATGTCTAACACTTCTTGAATAGCACGCGTTACAAAAGTTGGTGTACACCCTAAGCTTAGGCTTACCAGGCGGTTGGAGATGAGAAAACCACAAAGTAACTCATTTCTTTTGTAGATGTTAGTGCTTTTCCAGGCTGTGTGGTGAGCATTAGCATCACAACCCACCACAAGTTCGGCGTTGTGTTTTCAGACGAACTCCGCCACTCGCTCTAACTCGATGGTGGGATCTGCGTTTTCTCCAGGAAGATAGGCTGATCAAATGATTACTCTGGCCCCTGTGCATCCCTTGAGATTTATGAAGGCTATAACCAGGTCATCATTGCAGTACTCTGGAACAGCTAAAAGTTCAATATTTTTATTGTAAATTATCCAAGCTCTGGGTCTACTGCCTTTAGTATTGACAAGAATCTTAACGGCAGCCGACAATCCCAGAACTTGACCGTTGGCCACCCAAGCCTCTTATATGAGGGCGAGGCCAATGTTTTCCTTTAAAAATCAAACCTCCACCACGGCAGAAGCAGCTGCTGCATAGTGAAAATTTGCCTGGAGGACCCTCGTCTTACACTTGGGGTTAGCCATTTTTGGGCGTGGGTGGGCAGGGCACTTTTCCACCTGTTGAGGACGAAGACGTCTTTTACCGGCTACTTACCTTTCGCTATACCGCTTCCACCTCCCCTCCTCCCACGCCTGGATGACACCAGCACATGCCGTCGGATCGAAGCGAGATCAGCGCCTTGGGCCTTCGTCACTCTCAGTGATGGCATTCCAGTCACAGCCCGAGTCGAGGGCTGGGGGATTTGAGTTTGCGCGGTTCAGGCTACATTGCCGCGTCGGAGCCTTCCTTGACTTTAGAAGTTATCATTTTAAGGCCAAAGACGACTCCGTCGCCTGCCTTCCGAAGAGCCTCCGCCAATGGGTCATCCAGAGAAAAGTTACTAGGAACCCATTCTCCTCGTCTCTACGGCGCAGGATTCTCCAGAGCTCGGTATGGAGCCCTTCATGTTGTGCTCTCAACAGCAAAGGCGCTCCTCTGGAGAGTCAGCTTCGCTGCGGGGAAAGTAGGTAATGCCGGGCTGAGGCTTAGGCAGTTCGCCCTAGGGTATTATCGAGAGCTCTGCCTCCGGCCAGGGTTTCAGTTTTCTGATTTCACCCACTGGCTTTCCTTATTCAGGCACGTTACCAGAATTCAACTTGACTTGTGAGTGAAACCCGAAACTTTTGGTCCGATTCCCGGCTGCGCCCCACAGGATTCATTGGATTCGAATTGCGAATTCCTACACACGCGGAGCCAGCAACGGCACTGAAGCTGAGATTCTTATCCCCGTATTTTTATTTATTTTACACGAATTTTTATACATACTGTAAATTTTAAATACCTAGTGCGTCAATAGTCGACATATACATACATATAACTATTACTACGCATTGAACCCATGTTCTTACCGGCAAAAGGACTCGCCTTGAATTTCTTAGGAATTAGAGATAATAATCCTACATTTTTAAAGACAGAAATTTTGTTTTGGGATCGTGATGGTGATTACACGTTTCGTACATTGTTATCGAGTCAAAAATGGTCAGTATCTTGTTGCAACAGTTACATAAAGCCTCGGAAAACATTAAGTTTATTTGCATCGGTGAGCTTTCACAACGCACTGAATTTTTTTTTCTTTCTCCAAGCGTTCATGTACAATGTTACGCACTTTTTCTTTCGCGGGTTGTTGCGATGTCTACCTCAGAAACTATATATTATGATCGTCAAATGGATATACAAAATATTATGGTACCTGCGGATAATAAGACCTGTCGGCTAATAAGGCCTAAGTAACAAAAATCGTATTTATAATAAGCGCTCTCACTCAGGGAAATAATAACAGACTCCTATTGCACAATAATGTCTCTACAAGTTTGCAGAGATGCGCTACCCTGCATCCTGCCACAAAGTTGCAGTTTCTATGAGATACGACTTGTCAATGCATGCAAAAATGCTTTGTTGAATAAATGTATCGTCGTTATTTTTGTTTATTTGTTTTTTCTTAAATACTAGATCGGCGGTTATTAAGGCCAGCTAAATTTCAACATAGGCCTTATTTTTTTCCATTTATCACTTGTAATTGCCCGTTCATACTTACTAAGCACTTGTCAGTTGTCACTTGCACTTGCACTCGCACTTGTCACTTCTCAAAATATAAACCGGGCCTTAAGCGAGGAAAATTATATGTTTTGTAAAATTTTAAACATTAATTGTCTATAGTAAACTTAACTTTAAATTGTTGACCACTATTAAATATATTACATATAGTTTGGTTATTAGAGTTCGTTAAAGCAGTAGGCTTTATTACCCTACCATAGTAGAATAAGGTCTACTGGCAAGGTATTTAGAAATGTTTAATTTTGTTTTTATTTATGGCAAATGTTACAATTTTTCGTTTATACTTTATATAAATGTACTAAGCCGATGGTTTTAATTAAAATCTGTAGAATTGGATATTACTCACTTTTTTTCGTATTTCCCTTCTAAAACTTATTACTCGCAGGTACTTTTTATAAGTGGTAGAACAACACATCTGCATTTTAATTCTTAATCAAAGTTAAATGTAAATGTCTATGGGTTACAGCATCCACTTATCACCAGGTGGACTGTGTGCTCGTTTGTTACCCTTATACTATAAAAAAGCTATACATTTTAAAACTAGCTAATTTCTTTTGACTAGATAAGAACTATAATAAAAAACATTCCATAATTAAATATCTAGTTTTTAAAAAGTGAATTGGTCATAAAATTATGTACGAAATCCTAATAGAGCGACGCCTGACCTAGATATCTTATAGATACTCCAGCTTTATCGCCAAGTATTTATTTTTTTAAATTCCAGAAAGCTTGCACCGCACTCTCACTTTTTGAAATTATGGCACCACAAATACGAAGTGCCGAGCAACGAGCAACGAAGAAACGAGCCGTGGTAGCTCAGATGGTTAACGCTCGCTGTAAATATAACAGAATGCGAGTAACCCGGGTTCGATCCCCGCCGGCACCAATGAAATTGTTAATTGCAATTTTAAGTGCTGATTTACCACGTGCTCGACGGTGAAGGAAAACATCGTGAGGAAACCTGCATGTCTGAGGAATGAGAAAAAAATATTTCGAAGACATGTGAAGTTCGCCAACACGCATTGGGGCAGCGCGGCGGACACCTCCTTGCCCTAAAACCCTCTCAGAAATGAGGGGGAGGCCTGTGCCCAGCAGTGGACGTATATAGGCTGTAACTTTACTTTACTTTTACTTTAAACACTAACTAAAATAAGATAAAACGGTTTTCTAGACATGCCTCCATTTTGTTAATGATAGAGGGGGCAAACGAGCATGCAGCTCACCTGATGGTAAGTGATCACCGTCGTCCATGAATTTAATTCTACAGAGTGCAAATGACATTTTTAATGCTACAAACCAAGTATAGAATCAGTGCTAGGCCCTTCAGATGTTCTATTTTCCTCGGAAGATCGAGTAAACTCTTTATCTATATCAACATTTCTTCGCATTCCAGTTTTAACTTCTCTTGATTTCACTAAAAATAGTGAGTTAATAATTAATATTAATTTCATAGACATTAATCACTATTTTAATCGTTAATTAGTCGCTATTTCAAAGTAAATGAGCTTTGTGAGAATAAAAGAAGATGGTTTCTGATTTCAGATGATTTAAACTGTAACTGAGCACCTGCGCTTTCTTGTCTATACATGTCCTATTTACCATTATAAATAAGATACGGAGGTAAGCTAGCAAGCAGTGTTAGATCTTCATTATCATTACAACCATTCACAAGTCAAACATAGGCCCCCCAAAGAATGCGACGAAGCACGGTCATGAGTAACCTGAATCCTTCGACTTCCTGCACGTCTTACCCCACACTTCGCCTACCGGTACTAGGTTGCCATTCGAGAACCTTCCTTTCTTCCTCTTCCTCATCGTTTGTCGGTTCTTCGAACTATAAGGCCGGCCCTTGGCTTACTAATTCGTTAGGCTATGTCGGTTACTCCGGTTCTACAGTGGATATCCTCATTTATAAGTTTATCAAGCAGAGAAACCCCGAGCGTAACCATCTCCATAGTTCGGTGAGCGTCCACCACGTCTCAAATCAATAAGTCATCCCTGGCAACACGCCTCGCTCTCAATCTCAGGTATGGCGAGACGAGATTGAGAGATGTATCATAATCTCTTGAACGCTACTCTCGGTTGAAGTTGGAATTACATAGTCGGCTGTACTTGTCAACAACTTTGAGCTAAGTGCTCCAAGAAACTATCGACACAGGTGACATGGACGTTACACGTGATCTTAAGACCACATATTAAGACCGTTCTGTAGGAAATCACTATTGAGGTCATTGAGCATAGTGCTTAGGTCCTCCAGCGATTCTGACATAAGGACTAAATCGTCGGCAAATCGAAGGTGAGTTATGTACTCGTCTGCTGCACGTTTACAAAGTAATAATTACGAAAAGGCGGAATTAAAGAGCTTCTCAAGGGCTTCAAGTACTGGTTTTCCATCCGCTTTTAGAAGCTCCGCTGAAATTCAATTCTCCCGGGGCCTTGCCGTTTTTAAGATGCTGGAGAGCCATTCTAAACTCGCTCAAACTGCCGTCCGGCTTATCATCGGAAAAGTGTCGGGTAAGACTTGCTCTTGGACCGTTACTCACACTTGCGTGTGGGTTCAACAATGACCTGTACAGCTGTCCATGGAACCTCTCAATCTCACTAAAAATCTCAGGTGTCTCGGAAAAGATGCTGCCACATTCACAGCTTCGACGGTTGGCTCTTTCTGGCATGCATATCTCTAGCAAAGACTTTAGAGTCCTGATTCTGTTCGATCGCATCTTCGCTACGAGTTCTATAAAGGCTATCTGTTCATTTGCCCGTATTCTATCAAATCTGTTGAAGACTACAGATTCATTTCGCGTCTAACAGCCATGAGGTTAAGAGTTTGATCGAAAATTTTTTGTGTTTTTCTCCAACGGGTCTTGCAGAAATTACCTCCGACCGCGTAGACAGTTTCCTCGAGCTTGTCATTCATATCGTCCACTGCACTGTGAACAATTTTGTGACTCGAGCTGATAACTCAAAGAAACTCTAATCTAAAGTTATCGGGGCTTTAGATTAAAGTTTCGTTGAATAAATGGACGTGACGTCTGCAACTTAGCGGTTAGGTTCAGTGTGCCTCTCACCATTCGATGATCGCTGCCAGTTTTTATCCCCACGATTACTGAGATATCAATGTTTGATTGAGATATCATCAACAGTTGCCGTTTAGTTGTTATAATGAAGTCATCTCATTTTTTGTCAAACCGTCAACCAGGTGCGTGTTTTCTGTGAGGTCGCTTTTAGAAGTAACAGTTCATCAAAAAGAGACCTTTTTTCTCTATAAATACGGCCAGCTGCTGGCCCCTTGGGTACCGTAGTCCCATTCCGAATTTCTCTATCTTCAGCTCACCGTTCTCTCTTGTGCCTAGTTTTGCGTTGAAATCTCCCATTAACACCGTATAATGAGTTTGGAGGAATGCATGGCTCTAAAATTATCCTCACACCTTCGCATATGTGCCGAGGTTGGTGCGTAAACCTGTATGACTTTCAACGAATACTGTTTGTTGATTCTGAGTATAAGGTGCGCAACCCTCATGGACACACTCCCAATTTTTAAAACGTTGTCAGACAGAGGATTTATCGTCCACAGTAAATCCGACACCTCCTTGGGATATATGTTCCCTCCCGGTGATAGAACTAGTTGCCGAATTCGAGGATTACCGTGTCTTCCCCCTCTTTTCGGACCTCAGATAATACTATATATATATATATATATATATATATGTATATATATCTTAATATATAAATTACGTGTCACGTTGTTTGTCCGCGGCGGACTCCTAAACTACTTAACCGATTTTAATCAAATTTGCACACCGTGTGCACTTTGGTCAAACTTGAGAGATAGGATAGTTTTTTTTCCCATGAGTGACCCACAATTTTTTTTGCGAACTTAAGGATTTTAATAGGAAATGACAGGGTCGTAGAAATGGCAGAACAACGTCTGTTTGGCAAGCTATTATATATATATATATATATATATATATATATATATATATATATATATATATATATATATATATATAACTATATAATATATCCCAGCGTAAATTGTCTTTCCCTTGTTCCAGCTCCCGGGTATTCTCGTCTGTTTTTAGGGTGCGTGTGTTATATCGATCTTAGGTTGCAACCGAACCTCCACCACAGATTCTTAGCACCGTTACCATGGTCGCACCGTGGCCAGGAATAGCGAAGTCACGGAGACTGAGGGCCGTGTCCTTGTAACTCTAGCCATAGGAGGGTATTTTACCAGAGGTATATGCCAGTTAGATATTCGGAACTATTCATAACACAATCTGCTCTGAAAATCAACAATTTGGGCTTTGCACAAAAGTTGACTTAGTCACTATAGCCACCGATTCATGTGGTGTTCGACAAAAATACTACATTAAATCTAATCAAATCAATGTCACCTTAGTATCATTTTACATGGGTTATGGATTTGGAATGAGAATTTATTACGTGTAAACATTACCGTGTGGTGAAGGCATAAGAAAATTATCCTGGGAAATTTTTAAATTATAATGGTATATGTCAAAAAGATTTTATGACCTCCATGCGTATAATACTTAATGGTGACACGAAGCAGCGTCAAAAGTGCGTAAGGTCTGGTAATGCAACGTGACAAATCCTCGCTTAAATGAGAGTGCGCAATGTCCAGCAATGGATTTTTATGGACTGATAAAAAGAGGACCATAGAAATAAAATTAAATACGTTTACTTACAAGCAAAGTCAACTAATTCATTTTGAGCCTGATGGTACCCCATCGTGATGCCATAGACTACAAACAGCATCATAGATGCCATAACTCCTGTCAATACGATTGCACAGCAGCCCCATGTTACAAGTCTGTATCAAAAGAATATTTGATTTAAAGAGTTAATCAAATTCAAAATTTAATTTTCTTGTCGGGATTGACATTAAACGATGCACGTGCCCTGTAAAAAACAAAACGACGCACGTGTTCTTGTTTCTGAAAATATTGGAACCTGCGTCAGTCTTCTCTGGCTTTTCTAAACTTTTTGTTTATAGAAAACGGGGGCAAATGAGTATGTTGCTTACTTGATAGTAAGTGTCCACCGCCTCTGCATAATTACAACACCAGGGCAACTGCAGGTGCGTTGTCGCCTTTTTAAAAAGGAGTAGGTTTTCATCTCGTTTCTTGAAGGTCCCTAATTTGTATCGGTCCGGAAAAATCGCCGTTGGTAAATAATTACACAAAGGATTAGTGCGAGGAAGAACTGTTGAAGTTAAGAGTCTATTTCACTTATTCAACGCCTTATCTTGAGTGTTTTTTGCTAAATTTATAAAAGAAGGAAGTTCTTAATTTGACCGTATTTCCTTTTTTGTATGTAATGTTACGCGATCTCTTGGTAAATTGTGAACTGATAATGATGGTTACGTTTTTAATTAAATAGGCTTCAGGGATGGTTCTATATAAATATCATCAATCGGAGATGAAGTTTTTGATGTAGGTAATGATTAAGACGACATTATACATGTTATATATATTTTTTTTTTTTTTTTATTATATATATATATATATATATATATTCCTTAGTCAACTCAAAACGGGCTAAATATATACCTTTCATTACTTCAAAAAACTAAAAAGAATAAAATAATTTTCATAGAACAGCTTCTGAAATTAGAACTGTAATTCTTATTTATACTATGTCTTAGCACCGATTTCAGAATGTGAAATTATATAATTCGTTTAGGGCTAACTTTTCTATCGTCAGATAAAGATTATTTATAGAATAAAATACAACATAAATAATTTTTTTTTTTTTTTTGCTTGGTTTTTGACGTTTTTTTCTAAATACATACATATTATATAAATTACACAGCCGCCTTTTCTGGTGGATCGAACCCCACTGGCAAGCGTCAGGGTCACTAACCATACCAACAGGCCAGTCAATTAAAATTACATTATTAATAAAGTAGTTCTTGAAATAGTAGTAAAACTAAATGTAAAAGTCAACAAATTAAATTTTTTTGATTTTGACATTCAGTTGGGTTATACCCAATTCATTTGATGGATAACAGACGATTGAAAAATCAGCCCTAAGTTTTTTTTTCTTGTTGGTTTTTACTTTTAAAAAGTCGTGTTTACTTTTTTAAATGGGAAATTTTTTGCAATTGTAATGCAATATCTTTATTTCTTCGAAGTAAATTTTCATTTGTCAAATGTAATTTTTGAAATCTACTTAATCTACAACTACATAATATGTACGAAGCTAAATAATAAGTGGTAATATTATGAACAAAATACAACGATGCTGTTCTGGTTATTTTAAGCGTAATCGTTATACCGTCATCCCGATAGATTAGAAGCTATGAGATCTTTGTGACAGTTTACGTTGTCTTTGTGGTATCTATCACCCATAGTCGCCCCCTACTAATGGGGAGATTGATTCTCTTAATCCGCTACTATACTGCCATACTGTAAGCCAATATCTCTATAAGTATATAAGATCAATTGCTGATTAGTCGCAAAAACTCGAACACGGCTGGGCCGATTTTGTTGAAATTTTTTGTGTTTGGTGGGTATTTGATTACAATATCCGGTTTGTGGCGCTGTTGTCAAGATTCTGAAGTCACCTGTGCGAAACCGGGGCGACTAACTGGTTTAAAAAAACTATGCGTGACAAACGGGCACACAATCCGTGGTAGTGGATGTCGTGGTTCATCGACACCTACCTGTCCCCGATTAAGAGTGAGAATGCAGATCTGTTTTCACCTCTAAAATTAATGACATGATGACACTATGACAATGCACAAACGCTACATAAACGCTTTTTAAGTAAACTTTGGAATAGTTAATAAATAAATAATAAAAATCTTAAGTACCTGTTGAAGCATAATGATATAACAGCAATTGTTGAATAAATTAAACCCATAGTTTTTCTTCAGATAACCTGCCATATGTAATATACATAGAAAAATTAATTAGCATAGTAGCGGTAGCTCAAGAGTTTTTGATGGATATTATATTTCGAGACTTTGTAGTTCGATTCCTGCTTGAACTAATGAGATTATTATTTATACTTATTTTGAGCACTGATTTATCTCGTTTTGCGGCGAAGAAACTTGCGTGACAGAAAAATTAAAGTATTTTGAGATCATTTTGTGACATTCACACTTGCATTGAAGCAGTGGGGTGGAATCTTTTCTGCACCCCAACCTTTGTAGAATGAGGAGTACAAACGAACACAACTAGTTACCCAGTTATTAAGTGGATGCTGTGGTATATGAAACATTATCTTCGATTAAGAATAAAAACTCAGATGCGCGGTCAGGTGGTAAAAATGAAAGAAATGCCTCGTCATCAGTACCAAGGGTCTCCGTTTCTCTCGTTCGTTTCTTTCGTTTCTCTCAGCTAGCAAAACATTCTGTGAAATTTTATTTAGTGAGAGAACCTAGGAGGATTGTGCTCACCAGTTGGGCGTATGAAGGCTGTTACTTTAATTTAAATTAAAATCATAAATTTCAAAATGATTTATGCTTATTGCTACAAGGTTTAACCACAAACGGGATAAGATAACGCTATTTAAATATCTATCTGTTGTAGAATAAAAGGCTAATTATGATGATGATGATGATGATGGGCAAGTGAAAAAAATATCGCTATTTTTAAACAGTATCGATAGTTACCGGGTGATATCCATATAAGTATATCGATGTATCGGCATGTAGTAGGATGAGAATAATTTTTTTTTTACTTTAGGTTTTGACGACGAAAATAAAACAACAGCATATATGAATGTTGTTTGTTTTGTCTTTCAAATGATAAAATGAATATATCATTTTAAAATATATTGAAATTGATACGAATTACATACATACGCTTAATATCGCATATCGACGATATTGTGAGAAAATATCGATATTTCGATAAATCGACATTTTTACCCAAGCTACCAACGAGTTCTAGCTAATCACGCAACGTCACGGGTCCTTGCTGCTTTACAATTTGGTCGGCACTTTGGAAATAAACGTATTAAAATATATCCTAAACACAATATGAATTTAGATTTGTTCTCCAGATGCCACAGTACAGTATATATAATTATTAATAAGGTACTATAAATATAATAAGATCCTTTGTAATAAATGTAAAAAAAGTGGGCGAGAGCTACTGGTAAGGCTTGGGTAAAAATAACGATATACCGATATTTTCTCAAAAAAAAGTCGTTATATTTAAATCACGATATATCAATATTCGATATTTATTTTCAAGTATCGAATTCATATCAATTTCTATATAATTTAAAATGTAGTAATCGACAAAATATTAAGCAACAAAAGTATTAATGTGCTGTTGCCTGATCCAACTACATCATGCAAAACATGATATATTTTTTACTTGCACATCCCTACAACTGATATGAATTAAGATTTGGGTTCCTTTCCAAAAATTTGCTGTCTCTATTAGCAGCTCATTTAGGGAGATCTAAAGAAAGTCCGATTGGTCAAAAGATAGATGCTCTTACAAGTCTACTGATTTATTAAAAAGTTTGAAAATCGCAGTTAAGCGCCATTTTTTCCAAGAAACTATAAATCACATAATATGGGACGAACTTGTTAATGCATGTGTTACTTCGATGGTCAGGAAGATGAATGGATTCCTTTTAAATAACGTGTTTAAAGAGAACATGACTGTGGCAAAACGAAAACAATCCTCCCTCATATTTAATCGTATTAGTAAGTTCTAGATATATAATCTTTGTATGGCGAGCTGCCGGTTTTAGAAACTGATACCTCGCCCTTATCATATAGGCCACACGCATCTGTTCTTCTAAAATTAACACACATTGCTTAATGAACGAGTAAAAAAATGGAGAACATTTAGTACTTCTATTTATTTTCTCTGATCCCGTTTCTAGATTCGTTAGTCTCTAGACTAGTTTCGTCTCTTAGTTTTCATACTTACGTTTTCTATTTTCCAAATAAAACGTCTTGTCGGAATATAATGTATCGTCTAGACTAATATATATGCCTTAAATGTGATTCTTACTTTTGAAAACTCTAAGAAACTTTACTTGTTGTGTAACGAGAATTGCAGAAAATTATATTTTTATATTTATATACCTATGCATGTAAATACTAAAACATAAATATTTTGTTCGTTGCAAAACGAAAGAAATGTCAAACTTTAGCCTGCCAAATGTATTCCACAGAACAGATTATATTCTCTAACGAGAGCTGATAATGTGTTCTTATCTACTTATGTATTTCCTCTAATTATTACTCTGTCTCTATGCACTCTGCGAGATACGGAGTCTGCGAAATGTACAACCTTGGAACTATGTGTCCCGATTCACTTAGCTGTGTCACTTATTGACTTATCAACGTCCAACCCAAACCCTTGGAACCAGAAAGCTGAAATTTTTAACTTAAGTTCCCTTTATAATTTGGATAAGGTGTATGTATGTAAGGGAGTTGTCGGTTTTGGTCGCAAACCAGTGTGCAATTTACGCTTTTCTAATTAACGTATGCCCTTGTCACGATTCCGTAAGTATATAATATTCGACACATAAGGATTAAGCTATTTTTACTTTCTACTATTTTCAGGATTTTTCAAAAAATCCCACGGGATAGGGATAAAATATCTTTTGCTGGGAAATTGTGTTACGTAGGGCCAGTTACTGTTTCTGTCAAGAAATTCTCAGGAGCAGCCTGGAATTGAAAAGTTTACAGTCTTTTTTCTCAGTCGTGTCGGTTTTCCGTCTCATTGGACTATGAGAGAGATGGAATAGAAAGTGCACCTGTGCTTGCGTATACACTATAATCATGAGCTGTGCGGATGGCCACCGTGACCGAAATTTGCTTTAGGAGACACAAAAGCTTTAAGAGTACATAAAGCTTTACCCTCATTACGGCGGAACTGGAACTTTTTTAACCTTTTGAGCGCCACGCTAAAAACTCACTACCGTGTCCTGTACGCCAAAGCGAAAAGTAAACAAAAAATACCTACGAAAAAAACAGTGCTGCCAAGAGTTGATATATCGATAACACAAAATAACTTGTTTTTGTTGGTTTTTTATACAATAAATGAGTCTTTATAATCGGGTATGTTTTATTTAATCTTGTGCTGTCTTCCACTATTTTTATATATGTACTTTGTACATAAATAAAAAAACAAACAATAACAATAAAATAGTAGTTAACCGCAACACTACTCTCCGTCGTGATGACGTCACTGTCACGACTGGACGACAACGGCGTAGCTGACCTTTCTTTTTGAAACTTTCTTAGAGATGTAGCCGTGTCGCACGTTGTGTATCGATTTCAAAATCGATGTAACCAAAATATACAGACATCTATTCAAAATATTTTATGGCAAGGCGTAGGCCAAGTGAATCACAGAAGAAAAGTCTTACGCTCTTATGATAAAGGGGGGTTTCATATGATACTGATGTTGCTAAATGATTTTGAGATTGAGAAAGAAAATCGCACAACACAAAATGAAAATTGCTCTTCATACCTTAAGTAAAGAAAACACATTTATTATTTGTAATTTTATATTATTAAAATAGAAAAGATACGTAATTATTCACTAATCAACAACTGTATATAGGTAATTATTCGAACTGGAAAAATCAGTCTTATAATATTAAAATCTTGGTCATGGAATAAAAAAATCAGTACTTATTACAGAAATCAACAAAGGGTACATAATTATTCAACAATTGTAAATAATTATTTGCACTAGGTCTAGTCATAAAATATTAAAATCTTGGTCTTTAACTCAATCAGTACTTAATATAGAAAACAACAATTAAAAATAATTAATAAATTATAGGTAATATTAGTCTTAAAATAATAAAAATCTTATGGAATAATAAAACATAAATGTTTAGCTGGCCAAAGCAAATTTTCTAACGTGGTAGAGCCATGCTGCAGTTATATTACGGGAGTTAGTAGTTGTAGCACGAATGGGTCGGCTCAACCGGGGAAGAACCACGCTCTCACGGAATATCGGCATCAAATAGTAGCTTAATGCTGCTGTGTTTCGTATGGTAAGTGTAGAGAACCGGAGACCCTCTTTACTGGAAACGAGGCATTCCATCTAAGTCCTCACGGGTGAGAGCGCATCTGCATTTTGATTCGTAATCGAGGATAGATGTAAATGTCTATGGGCCACAGCAACCACTTGCCATCAGGTGGACTGTGTGCTCGTTTATTACCCTATGCTATAAAAAAGAAATTAACCGTAAAAAGACTATAAAGTGTATTCCTACCTCATTGAGGTAGAGTTAATCGAAAACGAAAAACTTTGGTTTCACGATAATTTTAAATTTCCGAAAATTCATCATCGTCGACGCTTTCCAAAATCCGAATGAGTTCTGAGGAATCGTTCATGTTGCACTGCACTAATTTTCCCGCTAATCGCTTATGACGTCATCAGTGTGTCGTCTATACTTGACCACGGCGCCCAGTGAACTGATTTTCGATGTCGCGCTAAGGATGCGCCAGAGTTGAGATATTAGATTTATTATGCGAAGATAATTTGTTATTTTTTTTTAAATTCATGTAGCTAATTATAGTTTTATATTTCTAACCTTTTGTTTTATTTAAATATCAATAATAATAGAAAAAAATAACACGTTTGAGCTTAATTTTGAATAATTTTCAATAAATTTATGGCTAACGCATTACAACACTAGCGGTCTAACATAGACGACTTTGGCGTGCTGGACATAGTATTTGTTTAGATAAAAATCCATTTTTTTTAGTTCAATGTTTCTTAGTACTTGTGGCTCTAGAAGACTTGTTTTTTATACTCACATGTTGCTGGGTTATTCTTTTTTGAGGGGTGTAGAATTAAAATACCAGTAATAATTTTCCAATGTCTATATTTCATATTTTTGTGGGCCGGGTTTTTTGTCATCTATAG